ATGGAAAGAAAACAAATGGTTTGCCTTAATAATGCAGAAGGGACGACGATAGATATTAGAAATGGATATGAATCAGCGTTAGGTTTAACTTTAGTTTCAGAAAATTTTGTCAGAATTAGTAATTGGAAAGTATTAAAAGACTCATTATCCTATACTCCTTGAAATTTGTTTAGAAATAAGAACACATGAAAATGAAAGTATAGAAAGATGGACATTTGGAAATATTGATTGGGAAAAATATAAAATACTAGGTGATAAAGAAATGCAAAAGGTTAATATAAATTTGGATGTTGATAAGGTTAGTTTTTCTGTTTGTGAAGCCATTTTAATCGATGCACGTAAAACAATCCAAAAGGAAAAGAGGAAAATATAAGAAGAAAATAGTACCATGGTGGACAAAGGAATTCAATGTTCCAATTAAATCTAGAAATAAAGTTTTTAGATTGTTAAAGAGAAATCATAATTTTATTGAATATAAAAGGTTACAAGTTTTTATTAAAAGAACTGTGAAAACTGCAAAAAAAAAAAAAGGTTTATTGGGCAAGCTTTTGTATTTCAGTAGTTAGGGAAACAAATAAATTCTAAAGTTTTGCGAATGATAAAACAAATGAATTGAATTAGAAGTAAATATGGATATCCAGTTCTAAAAGATGTAAATGTTATTGCTGTGACTGAGGGGGAGAAGGCAAACATGTTGGTTAAAACATTTGTTAAAGTTCATAGTTGTAATAATCAGAGAAGAGCTTGTACCATCAAAGAAAATGACTCTTGGTCTGTTTGTTCCTGTTTTTCTTGGTTATCCATTTGTTGTCCTCTGCTGCCCTCTTGTGTCCTCCCTTGCTCTGTTTCTCTGTCCTGCCTGCACCTGTTTTCAATTTCCTCGTCAGCTCTCTCTTTGTCTCTGTCCCCTTTAAAAGCCCTCCCTCTTCAGTTCCTGTTTGCTGGATCCTCGTCTTACTTCCCGTCTATCATCTGCCTGCCTTGTCTTGTCTCTCCCTGGCTCCTAGTTTTGGTTTACCCCTGATGTCTCCTTGGTTCTGGTACGTTTGTAATTTTCAGTTGGACTCTGATTCCTGCTTCTGGATCTGTGAACCAAAATAAACAGACTTTAATTCACCTCTGCCCACTGGTCTCTGCGTTTGGGTCCTCCATACAAACACCGCTTCATGACAAAATGTTGATTTACTACAGGAAAATGTAAGATGTAATGACTTAATAAATGGTCCTTTTTCTTTATTTGAATTAAATAATGCTTTAAGGAAGTCAAAGGATTTATCTCCAGGAAAAGACAATGTTACCGGTACTTATATTATGGTTAATAAGCTTAGTGATGCATATAAAAAGGTTTAATTGGAATTCTATAATAAGATATGGGGAAGTGGGATTTTTACCTAGAACATGGAAAGAAGAAATCACAGTCCATTCAGCAAGTTATAGGTCGATTGCTTTAACTTCACATATGAAAAATAATGCAGAGAATGGTTAATGAAAGACTGAGCTATTTTGTTGAGAGGAGGGGATATTTATCAAAATTTCAAAGTGGATTAAGAACTTGGATCCCATTCTATGTTTGGAACATCAAATCAGAAAAGGGCAAGTTAATAAGGAGAGTACGGTGGTTGTTTTCTTTGATATGTAGAAAGCCTATGATATGATGTGGAAAGAGGTTTTTTAATTAAATTGAAAAAATTTAAATTAGTAGGTACATTTTTATTGGATAAAAGATTTTTTTACAAGATAGATTTTATTATAGAAAACATAGAAACGTTTTTTGTTGAAAATGGTACACCACAGGGAAGTATAGTGAGTCCTTTGTTTTTTCTATTATTATTAATGATATGTTTGACAATTTGGAGAGTGGAATGGGGTTTTCTTCAGTCACTGGTGATGGAGCCATACGGAAGAGGGGAAAAATGGATTTCATTGTTAAAAAGATACAAGAAGCAATTCATAATATAGAAGATTGGTCTTTTAAGTGGGGAATTAAAATTTCTATAAACAAAACAAATACATTATTTTTTACGAGAAAGAAAGTATCTGAAATTTTAAAATTGCAAAAATAATATTCATAAATTAGAAAGCGTAAAGGAATTTAAGTTTTTGGGTTTATGGTTGAATGAAAAACTTACTTAGAAAATTCATATTCAAAAAATAGTGGATAAGTGTAAGAGAGTTTAAAATGTAATGAGGTGTTTGGTGGGAGTGAGTGGGGTGCTGAGAGAAAAGCACTGAAAGCAATATGTACTGGTTTAAGAAGGTCTGTATTAAATAATGGCAGTATAGCTTTTGGATCAGCCTCAGATACACTACTCAAAAAATGTGATAATATTGAGGGCCGGATTTATCAAGATCCAATTTTGCGTGCAGTAATTTGCGCTCGCAAACTGGAATTTTGCGCGAGGGGCTGAACCATGGTTTGCGGGTGATTTAACAAGAGTGATTGCGTAACTGGTGGAAGGTGCAAAACTGTTGGAGACGCCCTATTTAAATGATGGTTTTGCGCGTTTTGTGGTTTGCGGCAAAGTAGTTTGTAGTCTGTACAAACTAGTGCATTAAGAATTTTAAATCTTACAGTGACCCCCAACAAAAAAAATAAATAAGTAAATATATATATATATATATATATATATATATATATATATATATATATATATATATATATATATATATATATATATATATATATATATATATATATATATATATATATATATATATTTATAAATTGGCAACCTTTATTCCCTAAGGTGGTATGTGCTGCAGTAAAAAAAAAAATAATAAATAAAAAAAAAAAAACATGTTTTGTATTGGCCTGTGACTGTGGATGAGATCCCCGCAGCATTTGGCACGTTGCTCCACAGGCGCAGGGGGAGAACCCCGACCCCGTCGGACAGCACTTCTGAAAAAACGAGATTAGGAGATCCCAGCTCTCGCTGCAACCGTACGCTGGAATGACCCAGATGCAAAAAAGTGCAATGTTGCAAGGAGTTTCGTGATATCTGGTATTGCGTGGGTCCTCCTTGTGCCTGGCTCCAAATCCATTCGGAGTTCCCCCAACAGCTCCAAAATGGCAATGCTGGATAAACGATATGTTTTGATGATCGTTTCCTCATTCATTGCAAAAATATTCACACGGAGTGAAAAAATGCGTTCTCTGCGTCTCCTTGCTTTATTTCCATGTCTCCTTCTTGCGACAATAACCGCTGCCATGTGTGCGCAATTACGCATGCAGACCATTTGCACCTTCTTTTGAAACGTGTTAAATATAGAGTCAGATACCGTTAGCAAAATTGCGTTCAAGTTTGATAAATCACTTTGCGAGTGCTAAATTAATATATTTACATGTTCTCCTCCCACAAGACGCACTTTAGCGTGTAAACGCCCCATATTGCATATTCATTGCAGAAAAAGTACTAAATGGATCAGAGGCGCTATTTAGCACGTTTTAAAGACCAAATGCTTTTAGCACGCTGTTGATAGATCAGTTTGTACATTTTTTAGCGTGCGCAGTGAAATAGCTCACGTTTTAATACACGCTAACCTTTGATAGATCCGGCCCTCAGTATCAAGCATTTGAGGTTATGTACAGGAGCCATCAATAAAACTCCAACATCAGCTTTTCTAGTAGAAATGGGAGAGCTACAACTTCATTTCAAAATATTACAGTTAAAGACAGTAATATATTGGTGTAATTTAAAGGGCCATAATAGAAATCATCCATGTCAAGAAATTTTAAAACCTAGTTGGGAAAAGGAAAAAAATCATTTACATTGTTTTGGTTTATATAGAAAACATTGTAAAATACTTTTATTTAGCTTGTACAAATATCAATCAAACAGTTCCTCTTACACCAGTTCATCCGTCTATATTTCCTAATAGTGTTGTTGATTTTACTTTGTTGGAGAAAGGGAAAAAAGAAAACCTTTTAAATCCAATTCAGTACAAACTTATTTAGACAATAAGTACTATGGATATGTCCACGTTCATGCAGATGCTTCAAAAAATACAAATAGCAAAAGTCGGGTGTCATTCGTTGTTCCAGAATTCAGTATTAGAAAATGTTAAAGAATTACTGATGGACTATCAGTTTATACAGGAGAGACGTTGGGAATCATTTTGACTTTAGGATAGATTGAATAAATTTTTACATCTGAGAAGCATATTATGTTCTGATTCAAGTTCATTAAAAACAATCATTCTATTAGTAGACCAGCCATTTTATTAGAGATTCAATTATTAATTTATAGAATTCAGACAATGGCTCTATTAGTTACTTTTACATGGATACCATCGCATGTAGGAGTAAAAGGAAATGAGCTGCCAGATAAATATGCAAAAAAAGCTACAAAAAATAGTTATATTGATAGATTGGTACCATTCAGTAAAGAAGAAATTAAATCTATTATTAAACATTATTATTATTATTAAGGAAAGATGGCAAAGGTATAGAACTGGAAGGCTTTACAGTATTCAAATAAAAGTTTGTGGAATGAGGAGAACAGGAAGAAATAGAAAACAGGAAACCATTATATTCTGATTACGTTTTGGTCATACAGTGTTTAATAGTACATTATTTAAAATGGGGAAACATCGAACAGGAAACTGTGATTTTTGTCTTCAAGAAGAGACTTTAAAACATGTTTCTTTTGTTCTGTTCTAAATATTCTGTTGAGAGAAGGGAATTAGAATGTCAACTACAAGAAAATAAATGTCAGTTCAATATACAAGATATATTTGGAAAAAAATTCTACTTCTAAATATTTTTTTATTTAATGAATTACCTTAAGAAAACAAAATTGATAGAAAGGATATTAAGTTTTTTTGTTATTTTTATGTGGGAAAATGTAAATGTAGCATCCCGAGCCCTACTCCATTCCAATAGATGGCGGTAATGCGCATCAATAAGTTGCTTGCAAACCGCCCAAAAAAAGAAGAAGAAGATCGTAGGGAAGTGATCCCAGTGCTGCAGTATCTTTTTCCAAAATTAGGGGGCGCAATCAGCTCCTGCGGCACTAGCGTGGAGAATCCGCAGGGGGAAGATGGTGTGAGGAAACCGACAAAGAAGAGGAGTGCTTGTCTTTTGAAGGGTGTGTTCCTCATTATGGTTTATAAATCTTGCGAGAAACTTCAAGATTTAGTGCCTTATGCTGAAGGAAGCGAGAAGCTGAGGGACAAGCAGTTACTAGGAGCGCGGGTATGTACGTTCAGAAGAACTATTACAGAAATTTTAAGTTTGGGTCTGTTGCAATCAGCATAGGTGTCGATAAAGTAAGTCTTTACCGAGTAAATTAAATTGAACAAGCGTGATTTAGACAGTAAATAATTGTAATTAACCAGCTGGTTGAGCTCTTTAGACGTGCTCAGGAACACGTCTCTCTTCTGGGTTTGTTTACTTTTGACAGCTGCGCAGCCCATTCATGCCTACGCAAATATCAAAGCTTTTATAGCAGACATTTCAATATGTGCAATTAAATCTTAGACTTGGTGTCTGATTGGAGGATTTAATTTTTATATATTTCAGGATATAAGTGATTTAATGTTTACTGCACTTTGAACCTAAGATGTATTTGGGATTTTAAATCTTGTCATAAATAAATCTAAGTTTTATGGATGTTTGGTTGATTCTGTCCTCTCAGGTGTGTTGAGATGCAGCGCAGCAGCAGCAGCAGCAGTTTGACTAAACAGCTGGGAGAGAGATGGCTGACCTTGTTGAATCGCCTTCAAGAAGATCCCAAGGTAATTCTCAACCTCATTTGAAAAATCAGCTTCATTCATCTGGGATGTTTACTGTATTTATTTAGACAAAGCTGAGCTTCCAGGTGTGTTGTTTTCTCTCCAACAGTTTGCACAAGTAATGAGCACGAGGATTGGGCAGTACCTCAGCAGCCGGCCTTTCTTAGCCCTGGCACTGCTGCTGTTCAGCGCCATGGCTGCTCTACCCGTTGGGATCTTCCTTTTGTTTGCTATTATTACTATAGTTATGTCAGTGGTTGGATTTGTTTTCTTTGAGGGTACGTTACCAATGTCCCACTCTTATCTGCTTTTGTTTAATTTTCTCTGTGCTTTATACTGATCATGATTTGTCTGTTTAGTGTTTCTTCTGTTCGTTGGCGGAATGACTCTGCTGTCCGTTCTCTCTGGCATCGCCCTCTTCTCTCTGCTGGCCTCGGTCATCGTCACTGGTGTGTTTGTCACTCTTCCTAACCTGCTGAGGCGTCAATACTACTTGACAAAGGTGGAGTACTGCGTCGTCAATGTCTTTACATGCCTTACCTCAACCTAAATTTTTTCTTTATTTTATTGAGAATGTGAAGAGAGGCCATTGTTGAGAGAAAACTGTAAGTAAATCTGCAGGTCGACTGTGTAGAAAACTCAGAAATCACATGAAGTAAGGTGTTTTGGTCAGATTAGGGGACCTTTTCACCCCGAATGTACCATCTCCATGATGAAACATGTTCTAGGCAGCATCATGCTGTGGGGAGATGGCCAAATGTAAGAAAACCTGTTAGAATTAGCAAATGGATTTAAGCCATGGAATGGAATGGCTAAGTTGTGGAGCCCAGAATAGAAATGAAAGCTAAACGTTATATATATGCTTTAATTTATTTTAGCATGGTATAAAGAATTCAATAAAATATGAAAAAGTTTGTGGTTTCATTGTGATAAAACGTAAATATTTGATTGAGGAGTTCATTCACCATAACACACATTTAAATTGAGTGTGATCCTTTGTCTTCCTTTCTCCTTTTAAACAGAGGAACGAGAATGAAGAAGGAACTCAAGAAATGAAGCAGAAGTAGTGATGTTTTTATTCTCTCTGATGGGACGTCTGAGGCCGCTCTTCTGCACGTGCTCAGGGTGTGGGGATCTGAGCTGCTGAGCACAAAAACTCTTCCAAGGTCACATTTTCTGAACACCAAGTGTCCTTTTTTTAACAAGAGGAATGTGAAGTTTTATCTGTGAAATATTTGAGTTTTTTAACTCATTTTTTACTCCTCACCTCTCCAACTTTGTGCAAATGATCTCTGTTACACAGGTCAAATGTTGATCATGTTGTACAATAGCAATGCAGCTACACAAACACTTTCTGTAAACCTATTTCAGTCCAATTTTAGCCAAAAAAAAAAATATATTTATAAAGCTTGTTTCCACAGTATATTTATCCGTCCTCATTGTTACTTTGTCTCTCTTTCTAAGGCTACAAAGCTGTCCTTTATGATTGTTTTAATCATTTCTAGAAGACTTATTTCCATTTCCATATGTGTGGTTTTGCGCAAATCACAATAATGCAAAAAAACAGTTTTCTAAGCTTAATAGTGTTTTTTTTTCTGTTAACAATCTTGATCAAAATTAATTAATTAATACTGTACCAACCAAAGAGCTTGGGTTTCTTACTGTATAATTTTTACTTGAATCTGCTTAAACCACCTGTAGAACTTTGTCTTACTGTGTTTGGTATCAAGCTATTTAAATGATGTTATCGTTATCCTAGAGGTCTCTGCAGAAAATTGCTGTCTTTCAATTGTCTTTCCTAATAAATTTATTGTTTATCTATTACCTATACATGTCCCTGGTTAAATCATATGCTGAACATTTAAAACGTTTTTTTTGTTATCCAGTTTCAAGCTTATTTAACACTAGTTAAATTCTGTGTTCAGTATATAGATATTATAACTTTATTGTTAAGGATTTCAGACTAAACTGTTTTTTTATGTGTTTGTTCTTATACTTTGTGATGTTTTCGCATTACAGTTTTGTACATTTTGTACATGGTGCAATAAATTCTGTACAAATTTATCATGTCCCTGGCTTTCAGTGTAGTTCAAAAATACTTTATTAAAAGGTTTCCTATATACTGAAAAATCTCTTTTTTTATGTCTTTATTTACAGTGTTTTACAGATTTACTTAAATACCTTGAACTTTACCAATTCAACCATAGGTTAAATAATTTTGAGCTGAATTAATTCGATAGGCAAACATGAAAGCAAAAATGAGGCACATGGTTTTAATGACAAAAACTTAAAACTAATACCCCTAAAATAATCAGTGTAACGATTCACTTCCTTTTTTGTCTGCCCATTGTTGTCATACTATACCATGCAATCCTACTACATTAATGTCAGTTTTACCACTGTCCTATGCTTTGTATAGCAAAATAATTATTTTTGTATGTTTATTTCAACTCATGAATATTTGTAGATTTTAAAACCACATGCAGACACACAAACTTTTCCTGGTAGTTCTCACTGCCTGACATGTAAATTTAACACAGCCCCTCAGATTATAGCTCCATTCACTTTGTGAAAAATGTTTTTTAGAAGGTAATACATTTTTACTGGCTTTGTAAACTGGCTTTGCAGAATAAAAATCAACCAGATCAAGAAATGTACCTCTTAGAATGCAAAGATAGATTGTTGGTGTGATCTAAAAAACGTACTTTATGTATAACCCTTACAGCATGTTTTTGAAGTATAATGAGGAGTTGTATTGAACTTTTGTAGTAGTTTGCCTCAAATTTCTATACAGTAAATTAAGTAAGGTAACACTAATGAGCAATACAATAAATGCAGTCTTAACAATATTTAACTTTATTAATAACCAAGACACTTTTAGAGATTTTATGTGTCTGATGTGAGCTTTCCTGTTAATCTTCTTGTCAATAGTTATGCCTAAGAACTTAATTTCTCACCCCAACTCTATCAGAACACCATCAATATTCGTTACTTGGTTTAATTCTTCATAATGTTCTCCACAAAATTGTATTTTAGTGTTATCTAAATTAAGGGATAATGTCCATATTTTACTTTAAAGCTACAGTGTGTAATTTTCAGCGACATCTAACGTCCAGACTGCAGACCGCAGCAACATGAACATCTCCCCCCCACCGCTTCTCCCCCCCAACAGTACGGCGAGCGTTACGGGACAAAATGTCTTCCACGACGTCCGCATCACCTACCTTCTTAAGTGATGAGGTTTGTTTACATAGATAATTTTAATACTGCCATCTATTGTTCAGTACCATCTCAGTTCATCTCTCTCAACCTGCCGTAGTTACTTTCGAGCGTAATGGGTGATCTCGCAATCGCTACTTTGTTGGCTCTGCGCTGCAGTAGCGCAAAGATGTCTGCCTCCATGGCTGCGAGACCCGCTCCTATGTAATTATAAATAACGAATTCTAAGGCAACGCAAATATTAAGGTTAAGAGGCTGAGCTCGTAGATGATGATAAATAACATAGTTATGTATAATATATTACATTTCTGACTGTATATCCCTGTAATTATTACACACTGTAGCTTTAAGTATTTCATTATTGATATTGTGTATCAAATCACTGAGACAAGAAATCACTAGAAAAGAAAAAATTTGTTTGATCTGCAAGAAGGATTATCTTTAGTTACTTGGATACATTAAATATGTCATTAATGCATAAATTAATCAGCTTTGGGCCCAATATAGATCCCTGCGGGACCCCACAGCTAATACCCAGACATCTGATTCAAATGTAGCCATCTTGTCTCTCTTATCTGTTGTCTCTCTGCTAAATAGCTTTATATCCAACTTAAGGCCATTCCCTTAATCCCATATCTTTCCAATTATATGAGTAAAATTTAATGATTGAGACTATCAAAGGCTTTTTTTTCAAGTCAATGAATATTTGTGTCTAGACTATTTGTAATTTCTTCTACTGCATCAGTTATTGCCATGGATGTTCACTTGCTGACCTGAAACTGTACTGACTTTCAATATCATATCATGTTTCCCTTTAAATGTATCTAATCTATTGTTAAAAAGTTTTTCTGAAATTTTGACGGGCCTGTAATTAGTGAAGATGTGTTTGTTTCCATACTTATACAGTAATATTAATTTAGCTATTTCCATATTTTTTGGATAGATTCCTGTTTCAAATGATAGATTAAAAATATAAGAGTTTGGAGATACTACTGATAATTATTTTTATTAATATCATATCAATATCAAAACAAGCAGCAGATAGTTCATTTTTCTGATTCAGTAACTCCTGACAAAAACATTATCAGGAGAGATTTGTTTCTATTTGTAAACCTTCCATTTTTTTCTCAGCACACTTGGGGTATTTCTCTGCCAATTCTGGTCTGACGTTCACAAACGATTATTTAAACTATTAACAATTTAATTAATCTTATAGTTATAACTATTATCATTATCAATAAAGCAATCTGGATTTTTATGTGTTTTTTCTTTAATAATATTATTTATTATACCCTAAACGTTTTTTCTATTATTCTTATTCATTTGTAATAAACTGAAAATGTTCAGATTCAGATTACACTGTAAAAACAGGCAGATGGTCAGTTATATCACTAGACTACTAATGTTTATAGATTCTGTGTTATTTGTAAAAATATTGTCTATCAACACAGCACTCCATTTCTAACATGCTTTATCCCAAGTGGGGTTGTGAGGAGTGCTGGTGGTTATCTCCAGCGGTCACGACCCTAGACAGGTCGCCAGTTCATCACAGGGCAACACAGAGACAAACAGGATAAACCACCATTTATGCACACACTCACACCTAAGGAAATTTTTAGAGAAGCCAATAAACCCAACAGTCATGTTTTTGGACTGTGGGAGGAAGCTGGAGTACCCGGAGAGAACCCACATATGCTCAGGGAGAACATACAAACTCCATGCAGAAAGACCCTGGGCCGGGAATCAAATCCGCAACTCTCTTGCTGCAAGACAGCAGTCCTATCCATTGCACCACTGAGCAGTGGGTAGCATTTAGTTTTCGTCTTGGTTTTGTTATACTTGAATATAAACCTAAAGCATTAATTTTATTGATAAAGTTGTCTTTTGTTTAATGCTTATTTATATTTAACAGTTCTATGTCATAATCTACGCTTGAAAATATTTTTTTATTACTTATTACAGGAACTTTCTTTCCATCAAATATAAATCACCTCTAGACTCTAGGTCCTATATAAGCAACTTATAATAGCATTTTCTCTTGTTTTCTCTATAAATTCTCAATGTTACACATTCTATTAGACCATGTACTGTTAATGTCATACTTTCACTTACTTTAACTTTAAGATTCTTTTGGACATATACAGTAACATATGTTAATTGAAACATTGTGAACAAAATACTTTTATCACCAAAATAAGTTATTGAAATCTTAAGTGCAAATTTGTTTTTAACACCAATTCACCTTTTTATGATATATTACAGAGAGAATATATGTTCCAATGAAATTCTTCGAAATCAACATATAACCAAATGATCAGTGATTTTTCAGCCTTTAGCGCAGCCGGCCTCTGGGTTTTCCTCTCTCCATTTGTGAGAAGCATCCTATTTTCTGTTAAAGTCAGCTGACTGATTCAGTGATTTATGAAACATTACCACTCTGTGTTCTCAGCTCTTTTGGTTTTGCTCCCTGCAAAATGTTTTACGTCATTATCCAGTAAAAGGACAGTAACAGTAATTTCCCAGGCCAGTTGGAGCCACGTCAATGCTTTGGTTTATCTTAATGGTTTTCTCTTTCTCTGTGCCAGCTATTCCAGGGATTTGTTGCACCCAGTTTGAAGTTAATGCGAAACAGCAACACACTGTGAAATCATTTACAGTTTGAGGCAAATAATAAATCTTTAATTTTCTCCAAAATATTTCAAAAATTTCTACATGGACAACACAATTTTTAATGCTTTTTAAACATGCTTATTATACACAGAATGTTTTCAAGCCTTTATTTCTGTTAGGTGTCAATTTACATCTTATAAAAAAAAACAAAAAAAGAAACAAACCGATTTATTAACCCTTTAAAGCCTGAACCATGAAATAATTGACAGAAAATTCAAATTTTCCAAAATTGGAATTGTCATTGAACTTTCTGACAAATGAAAAAACAAGATACATTTTTTATACGTTAAATTACATCCTTTATTTGCATACATTTTGATATATTGCTCATTTCTATAGAATCTTTTATATGTTTTCTCTTCACTACATGTATCTGATTGTGAGGGTTTCAAGAACAAAAACATCACACTGATGATACAGACGATTCAAAAACTCAGGTATCAAATATGATACATGTGGCTTTAAAGGGTTAAGATTATATTACTAGTTTGGACTTATTCAAAATCATAATATAGAAATGTTAGTTGTATTAATTATTTCTATATGAAGAATGAGACTCCTCATAATGAATGTTTTAATCTATTTAGTTGTACTACTATGTTTAGTGACACCGACCTTCTGGGAAGTGAACTTCTGACCTAATATCAACCTTTCATGGGCTTTAACAGTTTTTATTCAATGATTGCTGTGCATTCATTTTAATCATTTCCACCAGCCACCTCTGTTCCCTGAAGTTCCATCACTCTTCCTTCAAGGAAAGCTAATTTTCTCTCACTTAAAGGTCTTGGTAAAAATTTTCAGTCTTTGTGGGCTGCACAAACACACCTTGGTTACCTTTCAGTAGGATGGTCCTGGAGTTTGAGTCTCTCCAGAGTGTTTGCATGTTTCACCATGAACCTGTTTGTTTATAACCAGGTCAGCCATTGTCTGAGGGACCCCGGCCAGCGTTGTTTGCTTGCCTTGATACAACGGCCTGGTTACCTGCAAGTACTCAGCCTCTTCCAACAATCCAAAACTACAAATGATAGATTATTGGGTAATCTTTATTGCTCTTGGCGTGTGATGTATAGTGTAAAGGACAAACGAGTATAGACTATGGACATCATAAGGTGGTCTCATTTTTGCATACTGCACCACTCCCCCATTGAGGCTATTTGTTAAGTGTTTAAGTAATATTTGGGCAGTCATCAGATGTCCTAACATGAGCGGGTGGTCTTGGTTTCGGGCTTCTTCAACCAACTCTCCTTGCCAAGCCTGTCAGCATGCAGCAGGGTTTATTGCAATACTCTTCAATTTCAGGTGATGATTGAACTTTACTTTGCAAGCTTTTCTAAGCTTGGGATACTGTTAGCTAACCTAAATATGCTTTTAACTTCTCCAACACTTTATTCCTGTTCCATCTACTGTGTCCCCCACTAAGCACGAATACTTTCTAGGAAAACTCCAAAGCCTTCAATGGTTGAACTAAGTTTAATATGTTAGCTTAAAGGGCTGAATACCAATGCATGTAGAATTTCATTTTTAAATTATATACACTACTGTTCAAAAGTTTGGGGTCACATTGAAATGTCCTTATTTTTGAAAGAAAAGCACTGTACTTTTCAATGAATATAACTTGAAACTAGTCTTAACTTTAAAGAAATACACTATACATTGCTAATATGGTAAATGACTATTCTAGCTGCAAACGTCTGGTTTTTGGTGCAATACTATCTACATAGATGTATAGAGGCCCATTTCCAGCAACTATCACTCCAGTGTTCTAATGGTACAATGTGTTTGCTCATTGGTTCAGAAGGCTAATTGATGATTAGAAAACCCTTGTGCAATCATGTTCACACATCTGAAAACAGCTTAGCTCGTTACAGAAGCTACAAAACGTACCTTCCTTTGAGCAGATTCAGTTTCAGGCTACTGCGGGTACTATTTAATGAAGTTGCCAGTTGGAGACCTGTGAGGCGTCTGTTTCTCAAACTAGACTCTAATGTACACATCTTCTTGCTCAGTTGTGCAACGCGGCCTCCCACTTCTTTTTCTACTCTGGTTAAAGCCTGTTTGTGCTGTCCTCTGAAGGTAGTACACACCGTTGTAGGAAATCTTCAATGAGTACCTTCACCTATGTAGATATTGCACCAAAAACCAGACATTTGGAGCTAGAATAGTCATTTACCACATTAGCAATGTATATAGTGTATGTCTTTAAAGTTAAGACTAGTTTGAAGTTATCTTCGTTGAAAAGTACTGCTTTTCCTTCAAAAATAAGGACATTTCAATGTGACCCCAAACTTTTGAACAGTAGTGTACATCATGCATATTTTTTGGCTCAACAGCAAATCAAAAAACACTCAAGATCTCTGAATGTGCTGAGAAAATATATATATAAAAAAAAAAAAAAAAAACACACACAGAATTGTTCATTTATATGCAGTTCATTTCCAGTTTGGACTTTCAATGATAGAACCAAACCACTGGAGATTGATTATAATAAAATCTTTAATGGAGGTGATATCATGCAAAAGTAAGGCAAAAAAAAATAATAATAATCTGAAAAACTGTTGTATGAATGCCTACTAAGAAAGATGAGACATTTGGATTAAACAGAAATGCACTCATTGAACACCATCACACCTATTTGATTGGAAAGGGACGAAAAGGCAAAAATACCTGTGCTCAAAAACTCATTTGGTTCACAGACATTAGAGCTAAGATGCAGAAGATAGCCAACATGCCAAAGTTTTGTTAAAGAAACATGGCAAAGCCTTTTTTCGACCCAGTGTCCGGTTTGGAAAAAAAACTGACAAGTAACCATTGGAAGGTGTTCATGAGTTTGTTATTGGAGTGCAATAACGGCTAAAACAAGGTATCAGCCATCTGCTCCGGAAATGCGATAATGCAGATTTATTTTAAACAGAACAAGCACCACTTGAAAATACTGATGTGCCAAAATGATTGCTGGCACTTAATTCCTCCAATCAATACATTTATAGTCAAAATCCATCCACATGTTTTCCTCAAAAAGCTGTGAAATCTATAGATGTCTACCTGATAAAATGTTTACTTTTGTCTCAAGAGAAATTTGTAAAAAAAAAAATATATATATAAAAAAAAAAATCTTCCGATGTTGGCCTCTTTCTCAAAGTATGTATGACTACACTTAACTAAAAAAAAATGATCCGAAGAATTTTAGATAAATGAGGAAAAAAGAATAAAAATACTGTGAGAAAATGGACATAATCCTCCTCAGGCACTCAGATACATTATGCTTCATCTCACTCTTTAATAAGACTGTACATTTTGTGCATTTTCTTACCAAGTTAAAGTCATACAAGGTACTTAGAGCCTACCTTTTGTGACATAAAAAAAGAAAACAAGGGTATACACCTCACATTTAGAGAGAGAGAGAGGGAAAAAAAAATAAAAGAAATAATGCATCCTATTTGAAACAGCAATGAAAAGAAGTTTAAGGCAAGATGCTGAACACAGAAATCCAAAAGGTGATGATCTTTGTTCAGCCCTGGTTTTTTGTTGGCATTACCAGTTCCACGAGCAATCATCAAGAAGACTAGTGTTTTTATTCCCCCCGATAGTCAACTGTTTCAGGCATCTGTTGCTGACGCTCATGAGAATCCACTACGCCATCTCTGCACCCCCTGAGTCTGCTGGGAGCTGCCGTCTCCTCCTGTCCGCCTTTATGCTGGCAGGCTCAACTTCTTACCTTTCAACACTAGGGGAAAGAAAACAGAGATAGAAGAACATACGGTAATTTAGAAACCATCAGCAAACCTTTCTAGATTTAGAATCCAGTGTTGTTTAAACCGTATAATCTAAAAGCAAAGTAGAAAACAACAAAAGGGAAACTTAAAATCCCTTAGAATGACATTAAAATTGAAAACACAGAAACAAACAGGTGGAAATATCCAACGATAAAAGTGTTTATCGGGAAAGAACAGCTTATAGTGTCAGTACTCGCCATAGGCATGGTTATCATGATACTGCATGGTGAAAAGGTCCATGTCATTTAAATTGTTGGTTTCATGATCCGGCTTGAAAGCAAAGTTCACCTATTTCCAATGTGGCTAAGGTAAGAGCTATTCAACAAGCTTCATATAAACGTATTTTATATTTTATCTATTCCAAAACCCCTTTAATTGTGTGTTTGGGATAATTACCTTGTCAGAACAACCATCTATGTTTCTTTCATTAATAATAAAAAAAAATAAATAAATAAATAAAATTTTTTTTTAAAACAGCCAAAAATTTCTAGATTTTGTTTCCGGTAAATTTAGAAGGGAATTTGAGTACACATTTACGTATTGAAAAAAAAAATATACCATCGTGGTGTTATATACTCTATATACTCAACTTTTGAAAACAACTTAATGGTGATACTGGCTTTTGATTTTCTTTCATTTCTAAATCTTCCAAAGATAAAGACTGATGATACTCTGGTACCAGTCCTGCTGAAAACCCCAATCTAAAAGGGATTACAACCAGGGTCTCCAACTCCAGTCCTTCAAAGCTCATCTCATGCGTTCTGAGATATTTTTAACTCACCTAAATATGAAAAACTGGTGATGAGGAAAGTACCAATCCATAAACTAATGCAAAAATTATTTTTAATTCAGAAATTCGAAGTTTTTGTCTTTTGAATAACAGCAAATATAGTCTGGGGAAAAAAAAAAAAAAAAATGTCCATAAAGTTATCTCATTCACCCTCAGATTCAGAATCAGATTCCAGACTTTTCAATATCACCACCATGCATAGAGTCTGGGCAGTTTTTACTTTCACCTCCTCTAAGCGTTTCTCTCGTCATTGTGACAAAAAAGCTCAATCTTCATCTGGTTTGACTGTAAAGCTATTCTATGAAAGGTATTTATATTGTTCATTTGAGAGACTTTAAATATTAGCCAGTGGGGTCAGCTCTTAGTCCATATTGGTGTAAAACGGGCCTCTCTGTGTATAGTGACACTACAAGTTATAATAGATCTAGCCTTTTGTAGCTCCCAGGTTTTTTCTAATTATTTCAACCAACCATGTGACATACTTTTCAACTTTACCCTTGTGAATCTTATTCTTATCAGTAATGACTTTAATACGTGCATGAAAACTTGTCTCTGGTGTTTCTAGGAACAGGAATGAAAAGGGAAAAATAGACAAGATTAAAAGATTTGCCCAAGTTATACCTGCGCTACCTAGTGGATTAATGTTTTTTCCGCAGTAGACTGATGTCAAAAACCAGATTATCTATCCCAAGAAGGTCTTGAACTGTCCACAGGTAAATACTTTGAAATCCATCTCAGACATATGGAGGGATGCTCAAACTCAAAGCATGTAAGTACTGAGCACAACAACTCCTCTGTGAGGGACTGGGGTTATTAAATCGCCAATTTATTGCAATATGACAGGGGCATGACTCAAAGGATAGACAATAGCAGTCTCTTTTAGATAACCAAAACCCCTGATCAACCAAGGCTGAATCTTACAGTGATGTTATTCAAGGAGCAAGCATATAATATTATCCTTCGTAAATGTGTTTCTAGGAAAAGATGTTTCAGAGACTGGCTGTCTGATAAAAAAACAAAAGATTTGATCAACTAATGACTCATTTAAAGTAATTTAATTCATGCACAACCAACAATATAGAATGATATAACTCATTTGATAGGTTAAAAATTTTACATACCCCTTGTTTAAACCAACATGAGTTAAAAAATTAAGCCTAGAACTGGAAAACAGGACCCACCTTTGGTAACATAAAGGTAGAAGAAGTCACAGTAGAGAACAGTCTGGACCACGCCAGCCACAATGGCGATCATGTCGAAGAAGCCCTCAAAATAGTAACGCCAGATCCAGTTGAAGAGATAGAGGGCCCTATAGAGGCCCAGGCAGAACAAGTAATGGGTGGTGATGGTCTCTGCCTCTCCGGTCTTGCTGATCATGAAGAGCTGTGGAAGGATTGCCACAGACTCCAGGTAGATGGAGAATGTCCAAAGGATCTGCAGACGACAAAAAGAGAGTTCAGTTAAAGTTCTTTCCTACAAATAATTATATACAGGTATGCATAACCAGTGTGTTCCTCAAAAAGCAGCTTAAATGAACCTCAAGGGGAGAGAAGTCATGGTTGATGAGAACAGCGAGACCCCCAACAGGAACAACCAGGAACTCCACCCTAAAACTGTCATGGTTCCCATCGTAGGTAGCCCTGAACTTCATGTAGATCAGATAAACGGTGGCATACGAACAGCCGATGTATATCACCTGGTAAGTAGCAGAGATGAGCTCATCAGTGATTGCACACGCAGAAGAATGCAGCGCCGGTGTGACTCGTTAGAGGTTACCTCACCTTCATGGACGTGTTGTACAAGGAGATGAAAGAGGTGAGCAGATCCAGGTAACGTGTGGTAAACACGAGGGCAAAGAGAATTTGGCTCTTCCCAGAGATACCTTAAAAATAAAAAAATAAAATGGTCAGCATATACAACATTGATGTTCAGTAGGTTCAGTGCTGGAATACAGTCTGAATACGTCAAGAGTCAGGGTTACATGATTGTATCCTGACATCTGCTGGACATGACTTTAAACTATCCAAACAGAAGCAACTTTAGAAGGAAATCCCCCCCCAAAAAAGATTTTAATTATACCTAAGAAAAGAGATCAACTGAAATTTTGGTTGGACTCTTAATAAATAATCTCAATTTAACCAAAAATATTAACATAAAGTTGCTTAAGCTCATCACAAAATTAAATTTTTTTCTTTTCAAGGTTTTTAGGAAGAAGACAAATTATCTTTGAGGTGCTACAGTGCCCTCCTCAGCCTGAAGACTGCAATGGTGTTTTAGTTTAAATTTATGGACCTGATATTTTAGGTTTCATCTGGAAATAAATACATTTTGGTTCCTGAACCAGACTAATCTGACACACCACTGAGTTTAGATAAAAAATTTTATTTCAATTACATGTTTGGAGGTAAAAACTGCCGATAGTGAACAAGAGGCTTAACAGTCAAGCCAAAACATCACATACACAACATAATGAAGCACAGAATGATGGAAAAATATGAATAAAACCTTGAAAACCCAACATCATTAAATATTTTATAAAATGTGGTGCTCTGTTAAGATCAGCATTTGTGGAAAACATACAAGGCTCTGTTGTTAATCATCTGAGAGTTACATTATTTTTCTATTCTAGGCTGATTTGTTGTTTTTTCAGGTTGATGGTTTAATACTAACAGTAATGCAACAAAGGACTGAAGGCACGATTGAGAGTAAAAGGCAGAGCTTTAACAAATACAAGTTAGTAATTAAACCCTAAAATAAATGTTTACATTAAAGTCATTTCATGGTAATATTGTTAAATTGAATTATGACTTTCCCCTTCTTCATCTTTGCATTCATCTTTCTCTGTGACCATCAGTTTCTTTAGCCTCATCATGTTTATAAGGGGCAATAGTAAATACTTCTGCATACACTATAACTGACCCAGAGTGGTTTTTTTTTTGTAACGTTGCACTTCTATTTGCCAAATAGGAGCGCAACATTGCAATAAACACTATGACTCAACTATTCACATATCTACAATTGCTGATTGTTGTGCTTTAAGTTATATCAATAGAATATTGACATAACTTATGTTGATATGTCATTGGGTCAATACTCAAAACTGTAATAATGCATCATATTGGAAATGAAATAATTGTATCAGGACATACAATCCAATCATTTTGCAGCATACATCTAAACAAAAATTTTAAAATTTAAGCCATTTTTTTGTTTAAATTGAGAAAAATGAGACAACAGAAAGTCTCACATGTTAAATTGTAAACAAACATTTCATATAGAAAAGTCTGTAACTATTCTGAAAGATATGTCTTTAACTCTTAATAAAAAAATAAAAAATAGCACTTGATATTATTGCAGATGTTAAAAATCATAAAAACTATAAATTTGAAATAAAAAAAACATATTTATTTGCTTGTTTATTTTACATTAAACTACAAATAATAGATTCAGTTTATTGAATTAGATTTCTAAGTACAGTTATAATAAAGTCCTAAAGGATTCAGAGTAGTTCCCATGTTAACAATTTAGCCTCTTTTTTATGACTCTATAGTCTTTACAAGACATTTACAAAGAAAACAAAACAACAAGAAATGCTTGTGTTGGGTAAATTTAAAAAGAAAGCTCTAGCTCCTTGCTAACTTTTTTTGTGTCGCTAACTTCCCTAGCGTCTCCTGGAGCGCCACGTCAGAGAGCAGACCAAAAAAATCAATCCCCAAACCTCAAAGCAGGATGTCTGGGGGTGTAGAGCTGGCAAACCCACCTGCTGGAACTTAGGAAGTTTCTATTAAAAAAATATTTTTACTTAACCTAAAAATAATAAATAAACATATTTAAAAAACCAACAGAGACCTAACGGTCCACAGCTCTCAGGAGATCAAACCATTATTGAAACCTCAGCAAATAGCATTGATAATACGTTACAACACCAAACATTGACCGAGCTTTAATATCTGTCTTTAAACGAACAGAAACCAAGGCATTAGGTGAGCTGTTTTGGGAAGGTATTTAATTACAAACAGCAGTCTTTATCTACTAACAGTTAGCTCTCAATTTAGCTTAAATGAATGAGCAGCACCGTTAGCATGTTAGCTAGCTGAGAGAAGCCTGCTGATCAATGCTCAAAAACATACATTTTGGCCTGAAGACACAAATAATATAAGCAGTAACATCATACTGTGATGTATAACGATAGTAAAACCCCATGCTCACCGGCACAAGACCTTGTTTTCCATATCTTTAGCAGCAGGATGATGATAGCAGCCAGATGAGAGAGGTCTCCTGTCAGTCTGAAGATGTTCATTGTTGCAGAGCGGAAAGACAAGCAAACCCAGCTGCTAAACTAGAGAAGGATGGGCTGTTTATTCCGGCACAGATGGACCCGTCCTGGTACCCTCTAAAGGTTATCCTGGTTACTTGGAGGGGGACACAAATCTGCGGGATCTGAGGGTCGAAAATATGGCGAAGGTGCAGGTCGACGTGGAAGGGGGCGGGCTGATAACGAAAAGACCGCCGGTGATTGGGCAAAAACGTGATTGGCGTCACGGATCCCCCCCGCCTAAAGAAATTGAACGGTCCAGAGGAGGGAACTTTGAGGAGAGGGACAACAAGTGAAGGCAAGTATTTATGTACTCGAAAATGACTTTTGCATGATAGTAAATATGGTTTATAGAGATTTAACTTTCTTAATTTATTTCAAAGTACCTAAAATTGAATTAAGAAAAAAATCATCTAAACATAATTGTACTAACCTTGCTATTTTGAGTTGACAGTAAACTATAATTAGTAGCAGTATTATAGCATAGTTATTCATCATTAAGTCAGCAATGGAGTGGGGGATTAATGGACAGATCTGTTGCTATAATAACAACAGTTATAGTGAAGAGAGAGGTGAGTAAAATGGCTAAGCTCTCAATTTACCAGTCAGTCTACGATTTTACCCTCACTTATGGACATGATATCTGGAACATGACCCAGATCACAAGCTGCAGGGTGACAGAGCACACCCTTAAGGGCACGTTCTACTCATGCAGCAGTGTATCGCAGTGAGATTGTTGCAGGTATGACGCAGATATTTTTTATGTATGCCCAATTTTGAAGCGTGGTCTGCACTATGGTATTCCACGCCAAAACGCAAGAGGGACAATCACAAAGTAGTTGTGGGTCTGGATACTACCGAGGCGGTGAGGAAGAGGAAAAACGCAAGGGGAAAGTTTGTGTGACAATGGAGGGACATGAAAAGGCAAAAAAGAGCGGGGATCCAGGTGGAAGAAGGAAATGACACAAGGACATACTGGAGGGGCTATGCCTCTCGGCTGGCCTGGGAGCGACCCAGGCTTCCTTAATTAGAGCTGGAAGAGGCATCTGGCTAGTGGTAAGTCTAGGAGTCTCTGCTGAGACTGCTTCCCTCGGTCCCGGAAAAGCAAAAGACGATGAGTACAAGTAAATTAGAATTATAGCATAGTTATTCTTTTAAACAAATTATCTAAAACCTCTCCACACAATGCACAAGCAGTATAGCATGTTTGAAAATGGAGTGCAACTAGACTGCAGAAGCAGTCAGTAAAATAAAATCCCTCCTCCAGTATGCTATTAAACCTTACAATTTGTCAACTCTGACAGCACTAAATGCTTTTTTCAAAGCAAATTCACATTTTTGCTAATTTTTCCACTCTTTTGAGAACAAGAACGTTTTTGCATATGGTTATTATTTTGAAGAATAAAAAAAATGTTTCATGTTGTTTGTTTTTTTACAAATAAATATCTAAAGGCTGTGGCATTTATTTACAAGAGCCACCTTTTACTTATGGAGGACCAACTCTGCCATATTTAAAAATAAATACAGAAATAAATAAATGCTCAAAAAATATATAAGCATACAATTAATTGCCAACAAAAATACATTAAACAAATAAATGTCGTGTGTGAAGCGTTTTGGTTAGCATTTTACTACATCGGTCGAATCTACAGGAGGAGAGTCTGATGTCGAGTCTGAAGTCATTAGAACGTGAGTGGACTATGCCAAATACAACAAAAAATCGCCATCATAGCCAGCGGTCCTTCACACAAGGCTATGCCGAGAGAGGGCCGCTGCAGACGGGCTGCCGTCAGCTTCGGAGCTCCGCTGGTGCCGCGGTCCTCTCAAGTTCGTCACATTTTCTTTTAAATCTGTCAATGGGCCATATGGTGATGCTTAAAAGTATAAAGTTCTCACCTCAAATGATTTTAAAACGTACTTTTATTGAACAACAGCAACAGAAAAGAGAACATTTAACTTAGTACTCTGAGCTCAGTGAGTTAAGAAGATGGACCGCCAAGCCAACCAATGAGCAGAAGTTGACTCTCTAGGACACACCCCCTCCTCATTTGCATAATGAGGCAGAAATGCATAGAGAAATGTAAAAAGGGCAGAGAGAAATGTAAAAAGGGCAGACAGAAATAAACAGCGGCAAAGAAATAACTAAGGTAAAAAAAATACAATGGAAGAATAAAACAGACTAAAATATTATAACATGCACATAAATCAATACTTAAAAATATAAGTAATTAAAAAATAAAGTTGAAGAATATAAAGGACAAAAAAATTAATAACGTAAATATTACAAAGGCAAATAAATAAAGAAGCTAATTAAGAGTTATATACATTTATGTCTCACTTTATAATTTAATTTCTACTTACATTTATTTGTTTATTGTATTTTTGTTGGCAATTAATTGTATGCTTATATATTTTTTGAGCATTTATTTATTTCTGTATTTGTTTTTAAATATGGCAGAGTTGGTCCTCCATATTTACTCAAATACACCAGAATAAAATCAAGTGAAATCAATACAACCAAGTGTCTTAGAAGGCACTTATAAATAAAACAGTCTACTGATATATAAAAAATATTCTCTGTACAACCATGGACAAGGAAGTTTACTTAAACTGACAAAACAAACAAGGACAGCATTTATCATAAAGGTATTCCAGCAGCTCATAGTAAGTCCAGAAGAGAGTTGGAGGTCAACAATACAGAACTGTGGAACTTTCTAGATGCAAAATGAAAAAGTGCATAGAAAACCCTACACAGCAAATCATTTAAACATGAAATGTGCATACTGAAACATGGTAGTATTAATGCCCCCTGAAAATGCTTTTCTTTAGCAGGGGAATGAAATATGCAGAGTTGATAAAAACGATGACGAGACAAATACACATAAGTAGAAGACAGTACCCTTGTCAGATTAAATTATTCTTTTGACTTTATTTAAAAATACAAAGAGGTGAAAAACTTTCACTGCAGAGTAATACGAATAAACTATGCTCATCACGAAATATCTTGCTGGAAAATAAACTAATCATGCTGTGAAGATCCTTACCTTTAACAAGGTAGGCTTTTCTCCAAGATGGCTGCACTGTAAAGGCAACGACTGCTACTGCCCTTTGATAATCTGCAAGAATTTCTTCAAAATATTCCGCCTAGTAAGCTGCAAACTATGACATTCTTGATCACTCTTGCACTTTATAAATGGAAATGTTCATTTCACTGTTGTAAGCTGCTCACTCTCTGTTGAAAATCTGTATGCATCAAGATTTCATTTTGTAAACACTCTCTATATACAAGATGACAATAAACTTTGTCTACGTCTAATATGTGTTAGAATGAACCAGTCAACCCTTATTCAACTGGAAATCTGCACAGTTCTTAAACAATACTTTTAACAGACCCTCTCCAAACAATCTGACAGAGCTTGAATGATTTTACATTAAAAAATTTGGCAAAATATTCAACCTTTCAACATACAAAGCTTATACATAACAGGCAACAGACCACGTCATTGTGATTGCACCAAATGGTGATTCTGCAAACTATTTTATTATAAAGATGAATAAATATGCACGGTGCACTTTTAAAAGAAAATAAGCAAAGAATGTACCGGCTCCTTCCCATCCACATTTATCCAGTGTTTCATATTGGTAATTCCTATAAAGTTTAACAATTACTGTACTTAAAAAAAAAAAAAAAACTTTTATAAGTAGGTGTTCTTTACTGTGCTCAGTAGATATGATGGTAAAAGCAAAAAGATTTGAAAAAGAGTTTCTTCTCCCTAATTTGTTTTTACAATCATGTAATTTATAAGTATCTTTATTGCACATTTTAAAATACCAGAATCTCTATATACCTCTGTGTGCTTACATAAGTTTAAACATTAAATCAGATTTTACATGTCTAGGCTTAATACTTAAGTCGCCAGTTTACCAGGTACTTCATTACTTTTACTTGAGTATTTACTTGTATCGATACTTTCAATTTCTACTTGAGTAAAAATGTGCTACTCTTACTTTAAGATTTTTGTATACTTTTGTATCCACATCTGAAATTCAAATACAATTCTTTGAATTAGTGGTTGTAAATTTGGAAAATGACAAACTGAAATTGGGTGTGAATATTTTTTGGTGCTCATTAATGGATCTACAAGTTAACTTAAGATGTCAGCATTCATTTGTTATGCAGAGGAAAATAAGGAAGTTAGCATTGAGGAAGTTCAGTACAATCTTCTTCCCATGTTGTCAGTCATTTATCATCACCTCAGACAGGAAATCATAAGATCACTCACAAGCTGTTAAGCTACCGACATGAAGCCTCTGGTTTGGCTGCCTCTCCTGCTAGTTCATCTGGTCGATACAGGTAAGAAATGGGCACTTTTTGGGGTAACAACATACATACTGATTCACATTTTCACATTAGTAGCTTGGCAATCCATAAAAAAAAAAAAAACGTTAGTTTGGCAGCAATTCTGCATCTGTTCCGAAAGACTAATCAAAGGCTATTTACTGGTCTATATTCTAGGAAGCACACAAAAATCAGACAGCTGCTTTTCTCCATCGACGAGGGAAATATGGAAAACTGCAGGACAAAAAGCTGTTTTAAGTTGTTGTGTTAAGCCAAAAAAATCACATGAAAGCCTGCAGTTTGAATGGTTTTTTGTTAAAGAAGGTTCTCACCAGCTTCTTATACGTAATGCAAAGTACAATCGGAATGGAGGCTCTTTAGAAATTAATTCACTTAATGTCAGCGACACTGGGATCTACCTATGCGCTGCAACAAAAGAAGGAACAGGGGACTGCGACCTGCCATTTGTATGTGAGGGAACAACTCTGATAGTGGAAGGTAAGGGGAGAGTAACTTGGAAAATAAGAAATATCTCACAGTGTTTCTGCTGATATGAATAAGATAAACAAGTTTTTTTTATGTTTCAGCATCGGTCACAGCAATGGTGAAAAAATTTCTTCTGTGGTTCTCATTTACCCTCCTGGCCATCTATTGCGTGTCTATAGTGACACTTATTGTTGTAAGGAAGGTAAATTATGAATATGTGTGAAGTGATCATGCATACAGAGCAAGACAAAAAAGGTTGCAATAAACTTTATTTTTTCTATTTCAGCAAGGCTTTAATCTGACATTTTGCAAAAGGACATCTAAAACCGAAATGGTAATTTAAGTGTTTCTTTTTTTCTCTATTCTGTGGTGTTAGCTGCTTTCTAACAGGGGTTAAAGCCCTTAAGAGCAAAAAGAGGAAACTGAAATACAGGGGCTGCAAATTCCTGTTCAGACAAGGTGTCACAAACACCATGATATAAACACTTTCCAAATACTGAATATCTGATTTATTGTTCATTCTGAACAATTTCCAACAGAATAGCTTAAAGAAGAAAACACAGTTCAGAGACGTGGTGCAAGAACTCCACAGCAGGGTGAACCTGAGCAAAAGGAAACCAAGTACAAGAGGAAACAACTCCCAAGTTGAGGTATAATATGTTGCAGCACTTTGGGTTCGCAGTTTCTCAACAAATAGATTGCATTTACTTCTGCTGTTGCATTAAGTAAAGAACAACAACTCTTAATGTCTTTCAGGCAGCAAGTGAGGATGGTATCATAACTACTGACGACATCTATCAAAATGTCTGAGGTTGATCTAAAAACTGCTTCAGGAGGATATTGCAAAGCTATGAAACATGTCTGACTCAAAAGGAATGATGAATAAGTCAGTACACTGGTTGGTTTTTTTGCTCAAGCTTGCCAGTGAAATGAGAGAAACATTTTCTGCACAGTAATGGTGCTAAGTAAGGGGGCTTAGTGGCTTATCATTGATCATCTTTCTGTGCAGCTTTCTGCTCCGATCAACTAGTCCCTGCAAGTTTGTTTCTGAGTTGTAACTGGGGGAGTTTCTGCGTGACAGAAGGTGGACTAAATGTGAAATATTAATATGGATTATTCTTAATAAAATATTAAGTTCTAAAAAGGGCATGCATATCTGATCGCTGGTTTTAAAAAGCATTAGGAAAACATGAGGAATGGAGTAGAGTATAGCTCCTAAGATGTAATAAACACTGGTAGGGCTAAGAAGCCTTTTTGTAGAGCAATTTCCAGAAGCCAAAAAAAAAATTTTTAAATAAATTTTTTAAAGATTCTTGCTCAAGACTGAATTTCAAGGTATTGATTCAAACACCCAGATTTCTTTTGAAGTCTCTTTTCTTTCTTTATGATCATTTTGTGAGACTCTGAGTCTTATTACCCACTAAAAAGAAAGAACACCCTGTTGCCAAAAGTATTGGATCATTTGCCTTGAAACTTATTAACACTGTTATTCTCCTCAGCACCTAACTTTAAAGCTGACACAATCCTGACATAGACAGAGATTAAGACTAATTGATCACCGCAGAGAATATGTCTCTACTGCTCCACATTCTAGTGGTGTTATGTTTTACTCTCTGAGGGGTCCTTTAGATTAAGTTGTCCTAAAATGAAGGACAAATAAAGTTTGGATAACTTCAGTTATTGACTGTACCAACTAACCCTTCTCTAATTCTACCATTTAATAAATTATCATCCTCAATAACTTTACTGTTTTAATATTAGGCTACCACCAACAGTAAACAGCTCAATACCTTTTCAGTTTGAAGTATAATCTATTGTTAAAGATATATTAAGTATTAGGCTGAATAGTTTTTATGTAAATGGTACAATGTGTCACTTTGTTAGGAAAAGTTACTTTTATCTATAGTGTAACAATCTTTTATCATATCTAATGGTCATGGAAGTTAAATACACCAGCCTATAGTGCCGCTGCAGTATGCTAAAGCAAACTGCTATAAGATTTTTTAAGACAATGGCTGATTTTTCTCTATTTAAGTATCTGTACTGGTTATTTGTTTATTACTTAGGCAACTTGAATTTTATTTTTGCGATATTTAGATGAAAAATATGCCTGAATTAAAAGAATAAACCAGTTTTCTGCGACACATAACAGACTTAGTTTTAAAAGAGTTTTGGAAATTAATTTCTTCGAAAAAGAAAAAATTGCATTTTTGCAACAGCAAATATCTTTAAAATTGTTTTAAGAAATTTGGCATAAAGGAATAATTGTTTAATATAAAAGTTTTTAATGCTTGTTATAATTAAAATGTGTCCTAGTCAATGGGGTTTTACAGAAACAATTTATTGTATTAATTTGCTGTGCTTTACAAGCAAAATGACATCCAGGGTGTTGTTCGAATTAAAGGTATAGAGGATGATCTTTTATTTCCGGGTGGATCATTTAAATAACTGGTCCTCCTAATTGTCAGTCATTCTGGTGATATGTTTACATAAGGCTGTCCTACGTGCTCAACCCATTAGCCACCTTTTTCTGCACCTGCACACTTTTAGGAATATATCTGTGGTGAGCTACAGTTTCAGCCAGTCATTGAAGCTCACCTTTTTCCACCAAAGTTCTTTTTCTTGTAAGAGAAAAAGTTTCTACGAAGTACTTTATGAGAAGAAGGGCCTCAGAAGAGGCAGGTATATCCAGGAATGCTTTGCGCGGAAAGAGCTCTCCTCGCAAAGCATTATGGGATTTGAAATCACAGCAGCAACTAGTAACAAAGATGGCGCAGTCACTGCGCGACGGAGGAGTTACGCGACCAAAGGGGAGAAAAAAAAGCATTGGTCATCTGTCCGAACTGTAAGTTAACTGAGTTCACTATAAATTCCACTATATAGTCCCTTCTGTCTATAGTGATTGAGGGATTTAGCGGTTAGAGCGGACGTTTGGGCACAGTAAACTTGTATAAGCTTAGAGAACAGCAACTTTTAAACAGAGCGTGCACGAGGAGAAACAGGCATGCTCTCGCACACATTGAATAGGCGTTCCCCCTCAGAAACGGGTAAAGGGTTGTGCAATTGCATTTCTTTTTAAGGTGGAAAGGTCAGGTCTAAATTCACAAAAACCCTCCACAAAACCTTTAAGAAAAAAAGATGATTCCCTAAAAAACTCTAGAAAAAGTGAGAAATTCTATAAATGAATGCTACAGCAAAGAAATCAACCTAATTTTCAGTCATACCAAAATGTCAAGGATTATTATATTGTTTTCCTTTTTTGAGCAGTATATCCTGTATAGTTTTTTTTCTATTGGTACCTCTATTACAACGGTTCCATGCATTGTTTTCCTGCTCCGCCCCTCCTTACAGATTTTGTTGAAAGACTTGTCCTAAAGTGCCTCTCTGCAGCCCTCTCATGAGCCAAAACTCAAGCTTAAGGGCTCGTTCTGGAACCAGAAGGTGCCTATATAGGTGAGGATGTGCCCCTTTCTTTTCTTTCCGTTCCTGCCCTTCAAAAAGTCTGTGCATGCCACTGCTCTGTGTCTTTTTTTAGTATTTGGTGCAGCTGAAAAACAAAATCGTAAAGCAGCTCATCAAAATGTTTCCCGCTGTGCATTTATTATAGCTGATCAGCAGTTTCAATGGAAGGTTACCTCTCCTTCACTTCCTCTTTGGAAATATAAAACTATCACTTTCTCCATGGCCTCGGATTTGTACAGTGCTAGATTGTAGTACAGGAATCCTTAGTTTCAACAGGCCTCTTTCACGGTGTTAAACATTAGGCTTTTTTAGTGTCATGTTTCTGAGCCTCTTCCTCATTTGCTGCATAATTGTTTAAAATGCCTACAAAAACATTTTAACCATACATAAATTGTATAATCATGTTTAAGTCACAAGTGAAAGGTGCAGCAAAAGATGACTTACGAACCCCGTCTGTGGAACCCCTCTGTTACAGGTTTGGATTGAAATGTATTGATTGGTGGAGTCAACAATGTAAGTTACAGATGGAGGGAGCTTGTCCAAATGTGAGGATCATCACATTGGCTAGCAAAACTTACAACACAAATGGTGTCCTTATCGGATCTATTAACACAGCATGAAAACTAGAGATAAAAGATGTGCAGACAATATGTGCCAAAAACAGTTTAATTTGTTAATTACATGAACAAGCATGACTCTTCAAGTTTAAATTTCACTTAGTTTTCCATAAGGATTCCAATCATTTCGCTCCTTTCATTAAAGCTGATATTTAATTTCAAACATCTGCAATACTTTAAGCATCATTGTGGTGTTTCCCTCTAAACCTTCCTTCCCTTTGCAAACTTAATTGTAAAACCATGTAGTGTATGATATCAGATACAAGTGACAATAACAAAGTTAAAGCATTGTTCTCTACATATTTAAAAAAATATATATATTTGGCTTTCACTTTAATGACAGTTTGATCCTGTCTCTCTTTACATACAGTACAGATAAACCTATTTTAACACAAAATGGGTTTTGTCATTCATACATGCACCTGAACATAGAAAAATTATCTTATATTCATTAAAGGCATTTCCGTCAGCAACACCATACATCTATACAAAAAAAAAAACATCTAACTTTGAAAAAGGCCCCAAATGAATGTATTAAACCCTAAGAAATTGATAAAAAAAAAAAAATCTTAATCTGGATGTTTCTTTATAAAAAGAAAAGGCCTGGAGTGGTAAAACATTAAATTAACATTGGTTTAAAGGAGTGACAAGCTGTAAACATCTGTATTAACTGCTCCATCTTGCATTTCTTAAGCAAAAAAATAACTTAAAGGTTTTCTTTACACACAGTTTGAGTAAGTTGAGTAAGCCTGAGTAAGTAGAGTGGATTCTGTACCTTTATAAAACACTTTTTTTCTTTGAAGGATATTGTTCACAGTTCAGAGTACAGTTCCTGCAGGGGTCCAGGAACAGGACCGGGCTTAACAGAAGGAACATTTAATGTCAGTAATCAATACGCAGAGGAAACCGGTTATCACAGGTGATAGAAATAACTTGAAAGTATAATATTTTGAGTCAAATATTTGCATTTTTTAATTTGTATATACTTAAACCGACCTATCAACTGTTACAACACATTTCTTTCGATTAGAAAGGTTATAATCATTTTGAGGAGAAAGCACACCCTGTTTGAGGTCAAGGCTTTATGGATCAGGATATTGTCCAATTGGTGTTCTCTTTATCTGGATGTAACATTGCTTAAATCTAAAGTGTTCAAAAACATATACTAGACTTTATCAAGTAATATTGTTTTTATCAAAGCAAGGCCAAATGCAAAAAATAAACATTGGGGAACATGGACGCCAGCTGCTCTCAGAGTCCTCAATTCATAAAACAACAATTGTGATCATAACTTGCCAAAATGGGCAAAACAAATTAAAAAAAAAATTTTAAACAGCACAATTTGCAGCTGTCTTGTCACTTGTGAATGCATCTGCATAGGAAAGCATGTTAGCCAAATATCAGACCACATGTCAGCCAAAGCAGAGGCATAGCAAGGTCATTCAAGGCATGAGGAAACAAACCGGATCTGGTGAAAGGATTTAAAGTAGGAACAGCAAAAACAAAAAGTTTGCTCTAAAACAAACTTTAGTGATGCTGTAAAGGGAAGTGTTTCCTACAATGGAGATGATTGATTCTTACACAGCAAACTTCATGTTATTACTACTAAAGGTGGAAGGGGTTTATTACCTGTAGGATCTCTGTATAGTTTTCATTTAACACCAAACTTCCTCATGTTGGCTTCACTTTTAGATCAGTATTTGATTTTGGGCTTTATTTCACCTTACGTAAGTCTTTAGAAACCTTTAAACGATCAATATGACCTTATAAATCCCTGCATTTCCAAAAAGCTACACTTCTGTCTTACACTAACACAAAGAAACCAATTGTTTAACACATCATCAGCTTTCTAGGTGTCGATGTACTTCAAGTCAACTGTGTGACTGTTGCGGATGGAAAATGGCCTCCAAGCCAGAAATTGCAGAATGGCGATACACATAGGCACCAGGCAGACCAAGTAGAACATAACACTGTGGAGGTTTTCCAAAGCACTAGAAATGAAATGGAAGAAAAACAAAGAATTAATTTCATTTCCAGCTCTTTTTTTCTCATAAAATACCTTTATTGAGCAAACATATTCCAAAAGGTCTTAAAAACGTTTTCTAAAGTTATATTCATTAATTGAATCTAATATATTGGGACTGAAGAATAATTCAATATCAACATCTACCTTCATATATAATTATTCAATTAACAATTTAATTAATACTATCAATTGAAACACCAATATTTCAATATAAACTACAGCATTTATCAGTGACTGACATTCTGGGTTGATATAGCTTTATGAATTCTGTTTTTCAAAGATCATATTTCTAAAATGTTGCATTGAAAGAGTTTTATAAACTAATTAAGAATAATTATCATAAATGTGTACAGGCATCTGTTGTGGGCATTCTTTATTTTGTCTATATCAACATCAAGCTTATATTGTAATAACCAAAATTAGAATATCATGATACTGAGGAAATGAATGGCATGGCCTAAATTTAATCTTGGCCATGCCATCCATTCCAAATATTCTGCAATTTTCTTGTATACACACAGTTTCGCTATTTGGCTTTAAAATTAGGTTACCTGTGACCTTTGAACTGAAAGAAGTAAGTCATTATCTATTAATCATTTACTATGTCGATGCTAAAGGTAAAATAATGTCAGTTCT